GTAAACAAATAGCTGGTGCAAAACCATGGAATTGGAATTTTTGGAGACGCCTTCAACTAACAATGACTACCATCCAAAAACGCTAGAGAGACAAATCATTTCGAGCTAACCAATGTTGTGATGCTCGGCTAAAAGATCTACCTAACTTGGGTGACAACTCCCAATAATTTAATATAATGAAACATAAAAACCGGTCATTCTACCGTACACCGGCATGTCTAGTCATCACCTTTGCGAACAAGTTCCCAATAATTCGCTTTTAGTTTTTTCTTTACTCTGATTATTCGGCGCAGTAAGATAGAAATCACTAATCAGAAGTGAGCCGAGCCTGACTATGCGCGGTAGGTGCCGAATTGATGATGCTAAACACTCGCACAGCCCTAGATTGATTCCACCTCCATCCAACGAAGCCCACCACGATTTTGAGCTCGGAAAATTGAAGCCCACAACTTGTTTTCTTTCCATTCGCTTCTTTGGATAATGTATCCACAAAGTTCTTCGGATTTCGTCTGTCGTCTGCCGAAATCGAATGTGTGAGAATTCGAATGCTACTCCAACATTTCTAGTGTTCTTTTTAAATATTGTGGAATGCCGATCAAGTTCAATGTTCTCGCGCGAAATTTGACCCAGGGATATCTGTGCTACAGCGTTCTCAGGTGTTATTTATTAGAGAAAGCCTCCCACACAAGCCTGGTAAGAATTAGTAGACCTAGAGCGATGTAAGTGTTGGCCGAGTCCAGACACAATCAACAGGACCCAACGAGTTTCAAAAGGTATCACTGCCACTGCTCTATCCGCCGCCAACGGTTACATATGGAAGAAGAAAACTGGACCAAACCATGCTATGGATAAATTTTAGCTAAACTCAAACACCTACTTTATTGTTCTTCTTTTCTACTATTGGAGCTGAGTTTCCCAAAAAATGCAGGTTTCAAAAGAAATGGACTATTCAAATAATAAACAAACTATGAGTGAGTTCAGTTGCTTTCCTCCGAAACCACCTGATCCCTCTTTGTTCGAAAGTGGTAGCTCTTTCGTAAACTGTGCACGATTTGCTAAAATCAGTAACAACATTATCGAAACAAATAAAACTGAATCTTGTGCGTAGAACTCCGTCTTTACAAAGCTGTAAAGTGCATGTTCAAAAAAGAAAAGTGTTATGAAAGAATAACCTGTATTATCGAAGGGTTCAACCGAAGCGGTACGACTGCCCTCGTACTGTGATAGAGTACGACTTTCCTCCTGAAAACTACGCATAGACACTTCGAATGCAACAAATGTTATTAAGCGTCTACGGGAAAACAAAAGGTAATAATGAATAATAAAGGAAGAAAGGAATTCTAATCAGACAATGCACTCACCGGTAAACTTTCTTCATCTACAAATGTAGTTCCACGTCCGTCACCAGGATGATTCACATAAACCTTAGCACAGTCATCTAAAAAGTCCAATGGCTAGCATAGAACTTGAAGGACAAAAAATAGGGAGACCAATGAAAACTTTACATACGAGAAATTCCACTTGATGATACAACATGTGAAAGAGGAATATGGTCAAACGACTCAGTCTGGGTAGAAGTGGTTGACAATGCAAAGGGATAATTCACACAAACCCTACCACGGTCATCTAAAATTCCAACTGGTTACCATAGAACTGATGGTCAAAAAACAGGAAGACCAATGAAAACTTTACATACGAGAATTTCCACTTGTTGGTACAACAGGTGGAAGAGGATTAAAATGGTCAAACGACTCAGTTTGGGTAGATGTGGTTGACTGTGCAAAGTCACCTGACTGGTTTTGTCCAACGTCCTGAAAACGCACATCTTGTAACTTCGTCAACTGTACTAAGTTCGTACTCATTTCCTAATATGGTACTATTTCACATAAGTCACGGACAAGAAAGAATTCCGAAAGCACATTTGAAGCTTCATTTGTAATCGGCAGCCGCAACAGTAGAAGGTAAAAACTTCCTTCTTGCATCTAAGCATGACACGTATTCCAAGAACTCACATTATTATTTTGCCCAATACTTGACTCTGCAGGAAAATCTCCACTGGTTTTCGGAATAGGAATTCCTGAATTATTTCCGCCATCTGAAATTTTAAATCGAATTAACTCCTACAATCAACAGCAAATCTCGCTACAAAAAAAAGAACCGGCGGGATGCACGAGTGAAGTTCCAAGAAGTGTTTGAAAAACTGGATTCGTCAGATGGAATTCTTCGGAATGCCTCTCCAAAAACGGGTGACTGTCCTAGAATTCAGTATTGAACCATCCTGGAATTAAGAATATGCTTCAAAGTCTTTCATATAGAAACTCATGCACGTTAGAGAGTCAGTTACCATATCCCTTGAAGCAGTCAGAAGACTAATCGCAATATTAACTACAACAAATGGAATCACAAGCGTCCTCGAAGAATACGAGTCGCGAAGCTACTAAACTCCTTATGAATCACAAAGGTCAACGACAATCTGTGATGAAGACGTGATAACACAGCACCACAGTCTTCCCTTACCCACGGACCTCACAATTAGATCAAATAGTGGCAGGTATACATTAAGATCATTAGTGATTTCCAAGACAACCGAAATGACCTTGTGTGGGAAACCTCAAAAAATAAGGTTTCGACATGTTGGTTACACCGTGAAGCCAAGTGAATTCCCAGCTGGAATAAACTTTCAAACCCTTAGGACTCAGAAGAACCCATACGTGAACACAACTACCTCCCTGCTTGACACTTGTAAACAATTAAATGAATAGAAGAAGTTTTAGGACCAAAACCTAATGCGATGGATCGTTGAATCCAGTCCTCTGCAAATATACTCTTTTTTCAACACCTCGGTGGGATAACAAAATTTGTGTTTGGCAAAGACCTATAAGTCCTAATAGTTTATATACATTCAAATAAAATTATTCAAATCAAGTCATGCATTCAAATATACGCACAGCAACTCGCTAGTGTCCAAAACTTCGCCTTATGTGAAAGAATTCTCAACAAAACCAGACAGAACTCAACAGATCCCTAGTATCGCCTCAGCTCTAAAAATTCTCAGCACTTTTAAAACTCGCAATAACGCGATTCTAATACCACCTGGAAGAGTTGACCGCTACTTCTATGCTCATAAGGACTAATACAAATCTTGGAAGGCGAAGAGCTACGTAATGTTTATCCTTGTCGAGAACATCAAAACAAGTTAACGTCATCTAGAAAGAAAAAGCTTCAACTCAAAAATACTAACCCAAATCACGATTTCCATGTAGTTCTTAAACTTGGACTGCAAGAAATTCATTATTAGCAGGCACACTTTGTAAAGGGCTCTAGTTAACTAAATCAATTTTGCCTTTGGAATTCTAGAACGAAATCTCCTATAAATACGTACACCCCTTGAGAAAACCCGTTTCAAAACATTACATATATATATGTGTCTATTTTGTATACAAGTATATTTTATTATTAACACTATAAAACGACCTGTCATCTCATCTACCGTACAAATCCCAACACTTCTTGCATGCAATTCGTTTTCCTCGCCTTCATGGCCCGCAAACGCTTTTGACAATTACGCATGTTGTTTCGGCTGCTGATTGAGGTTTTTGTCCTCTTCAAGAATGTCGTAGAATCCTAATCCAATCTATTCTCCTTGCGATCATGGGACTAATCGAACTAAAGCGTTCCCGCATGGACTGGAAAGTGTTGGGGAAGGATTCGAACCAGAACCTTGCTCCTGACAAAGTGCTCTACTAATCGCTTCACTAATACATACATATACGAATTCGCAATAGAAAGAGTATCAATAGTGGCCGGCAAGCTTACTCGATTGTCTGACAGATTAGGAAGAATTGCAGGATTCTGGAGAATGCCGTTGTCTTGCTGACCATTATTAGCTAGAACATTTAACTCAGTTAATGAAAACTAAAAGAGGAAGAGTGAGAATCCAAAATACTAACGTAAACGAATGTTTCCCAGTGCCGCTCCAATAGGCCTGTTAAAAAACGCATCATTGGCTGGGAAATTTTGAAAACCCGTCGCCCACAATGGATTGTTGTTCACAGCATTCTGAATTAGAATTAATGTTTACTGGAAATCAAGAGATCTTTAGAAAACTTTCCTTTATAAACCTTCGGTAGAAAATACTACAGCTCATTTATGACTGTCGACAGGTCTAAGAATAAAGAATTTTTAACGTAGAATGAGGTGTCGAACGAATTGACACTTTGAGAAGAAAAACAACAAACACGTCTGGTTTTAAGGTTTCAAGCGTGTAAATAAAGGTGGACAACTGTGTTGGCCACAAAAAATTGACAGGCTAAGGATATAAAAGCATGAAACAAACAACAGGAGAACATGTTAAACCTACCCTATAACTGCATAGACAAGGGAATTACGAAACGGTGTATGGTAAACATTGCCACAACTCACAGAGAAATCACATGGCCAGCTTTCTATGGTTACTAAGAAATAACTTCCGCAGAAAGTGTTACCTGATGAATTTGCACGAGAGTGGGAAGCATAGAATTAAGCATATTATTCCACAGAAAAGGGTTTGAGTCACCTGGAAGGTAAGTGATTATAAGCGATAGGTGTTCAACGTTGAATTTTCCTACGTATGCATTAGGCATTCGACTCCATTTAGCATGGAAACGGTAAATGAATACACATTTTTCCCACACCCCTTAACCACCGCACCAAATGCGACCCAACTACATAAATCATTTAGGAAATTTTAAAAAATTATTACAGAAAAACTGTGAGCATAGCAACCTCCAGTTAATGGATTTCCTGAAAGTGGTTGAAACTGGAGTGGGAGAGGATTCAGCATAGTGGGTTGTAAGCCGTAGAGATTTTGGAGACGCACCGAATCAAGGAGTGCATTCCCCATTAAGCTCTGGAAAAGCAGCTTTTATCGTAATTACCTGTTTACGAAGAAATTTAACGAAAGCGAAGTGATATGTAGTCCTTAGACAGTTCAGTAGTGTGCGTCAAATCGTAGTTAAATAAATTCACATTTCGCCTACATAATGGTTTGCAAGATCTATCATATCTATTCTCGGCTTCTCAGTTACATATCTATAGGTCTTTGAGCTCTCGAGATGCCGAACTGTTGAAGCAGGCATGTTGTCGTGTTGTCAGTGAAAAGAGTACATTCCTAACGCCGATAGATTTTCCATATGGAAAAGTTCACCGTCTTTACAGCTTAGACTGGCCACAAACTTCACAGAGGAACTCGAGATACATGATAGCTAAAGATTCAGTGACATCCTTTGGGGTGGGGAGGCTTAATCTCAGGCATCCAAGAAAAACGCCTCGTTTTTTCAAAAGTCTTTGTACCCAATAGACTTTATTGAGGGGTCCACATTAACTGCTTACTTCAATACTGGCAAGCGATAAAAATTTAGAAAACGGATGGGATGACAAACAATTGAGACTTTGGTATGACCATCATTCTGTAATGCGATTCTGTATCCGCCAGCCGCCCCTCTGTGGTGATTCAATGCAAACAGACAGAACTGATGTTATCGTTCCAGAAATTACACTTTTGAACTGTGCAGATACTGCACTTCCCACCAATGGATCAAGAATTGACTAAGACTGGAACAGGAACTAATAGACTTTTGCGAATTTGTATCTGTTGCAATTAAAATCGGAAGGAGTTTGAGAAGGCTACGCGTTTTTTGTGAAGAACCTAACAGAACGATATAAATAGAGAATAAACCACAAAGAACTATTCAATAACAAACTTTTATTGCGCAGACCGCAAAGCAACTTTGACATCTTTGTTGCTGTTTTAAGAGCACTCAAACCATTCATTAGATGTGGACAACAGTTTGAACTTGGCTCGAATTACCGAGAACGGAACAAAAACCGATTATTCGAGCGCTATGCCACCTCGATCCCTCTATGAGTTTCGAGCAGCAGGTCGGTATCACCCATAGCCTGCCTTCCTGTTCACCATCGGCCAACCACCAAAGTTATTTTTCTCGTGTGTTACAATAGCATAGGCATCTTCCAAACTGTGAAACTCGACGAAAAAATCATGATTCTACCGTAGTGCCTTCGTTTACCAGACCGTCGAGTCCGCATTTTAACAACTGAGTGCTGGAGATCAGTCGAGACCCCCTTGCTAATACCGGTTATCTACCAGCCAGAAAATATCATTGACCATATTTTGGCTTATACTGCAGCTTGTTGGATCTATACCTGACGACGTAGATTGAAGGTTTAAATTTCCCTCTTACGTGTGTGAGACAACTTATTCCGAACATCAGCCTCTTCGCAACGCGCTCGAAAAACTTGATTGATCTTTCTTCCGCTGATCTGCGGAAAAAGAAGCCGTAAGATCAAAAATGTAGCAGTACAGAAAGATGTTACCTAGGCGACTATGCACTAGATCCTCGATGTTTTTGTAAACTCCTCGAGTTCATTTCCTTCTGCTCAGCCCTGAAGCTAAGCCTTTCGTTCATGTTGACTTCCTTACCGGATAAATATGGGTAAAATCACCTAGAGAGGTACCTCCCGATAATATGCGGGCACCAGTAATCGCTTCTTATAAGCGTTGCTCAATTATAGACTAATTCTTCCACATTCGCCATTGAAACTCCGTAAATTTCGTTCACAAAGAAGGCAAAATGGGTGATCGTCGTCAACGTCATGGATACCCCTCTCCTTAGGATGCAAACATGGTATTGCCAAAGCGACACATTCTCAGAGACAACAATGACAAAAATTATCGAGAGGAACAGGAAATGCTCTGAAGATAACACAATTTTTAAGGATGGTCAAAAGAAATCGAATAAGTAGTGTTATGTATCACATTTAAGCTTCTAAATAACTGATCAAGAAGCCGTTACCGACTTGACGACAACTGACGTCATCCATACAACGAGGGAAAAAATGACGCCCTAATTGTGATAGGAAGCCCCAATGTGGTGTTCAGCCGAACACTGATGGGATCTTCAATACACGATTCTCGAGTGAGCAGAAGAAAAAAGAAAAACAATGATATACAACGGGAACGGATGGACACTCACACCTCTCCCTCCCAGTTGAACCACTTAATAATCAACGAAACGGTTAATATACGTGATGGAAAGACAGAAACGTTAGTATTTGCCACAAATCTGGTAACATTCTTACGATGCTTCGATATGAACATACAAAACTAGTCGTTGTAGACTTTTCAAGCAAATCTCTCGTAGCTCAAACCTAGATGGCATTTAGCTGTCGGTGAACGATAAAGATAATGAGTACGGGTACCGACTACTTCACCTTAATTGCACGATGTCGCTCCCACAGTAACCGAGACACGTCTGTACCATTACATTCAACCTAATAAAAAGTATATATATATGCATACATATACTTGTATATTAATACATATATACATGGATATATATATGTGTACGTTTACACAGAAAGTTTGTTTCGAAGCATCACACTTTACTTGGTAACTAACGAGATAATACAATCGAAAAAATGGAAGTGACGAATCGTTAGATAAATGAGTTACCGCAAGCACGTCGTTCAAATATCTGTTGGCCTGAGCATTGGGATTCACGACATTCCACGGATAATTATTTCCGCGAGAGGAAGATCCTGAACAGATAATAGTAGAACGCTGTAAGTGCAGAAACAGACCTCTAAATTTAACATTCAAAGATTTATACGACAAAAGGCCTAGGAATATGAATGCACGCCAGAGCACTCAGTAGGCTCCATATACTGCAGCACACATCTATGTGAGGAATACAACTTCACATCACCTGAGATGAATGACTTCTCTAATTCACCATTGTTATAATCCTCTTTGTATCAATACATCGACAAATACTTCGAATGACGTTTTTCCAATGATATCATGTTTTCTTCAATCCGAATTAATACGCCTTGTAAACGATCTCATAGATTTCTTAAGTAAACGGACTTTCAGAACACTGCAAAGGTCTATCTATGTGGAAAATTGCATCAGAAAGAATGTCATGGATGTTAACCAGACGATTTGGTCCTTCTACTAAAAATTTCAGACTAAAGCGGCCTTCTTGAAGATAAACGACTTGGAGCGGGGGAAAAAAGTTTCCACATCCGGACGGCAGACTTCGTAACAGCACTTTAACTAAGCAAGCTGATTCCAGGATTTCAAAGCATGTATCAAAATTATCAAAACAGTAACGGACCAGTTCCGGTCCTTCAAGGCAGAACGGAGAAGTTCTTTCTCCCATCTTGCATAGAATATCTTCTCAAACGAAACCACCCAAACCCACGGGTCAACCCACTATGTCATAGTCGTAGTGTCCAAAGAAAACTGCAGCGCATTCTTCAGGAACGCAATGCATTCTGCTAGACATTTGAATGAAAATCGTATTGAAGCAGTGGTGTTACTATACACCAACGGTTACTAATAACAAAGGACAAAAAAGATAAAGTTCTCGCCATTGACCAATACCTAAAGGATGGGCCATATTCGAATTCACTAAGCATCGCTGAAGGTTACTGAACGCATATCTAGCTCTTACAATGACTTTGCGTGACCTATCAACACATCGAGCCAGTGCTGCTATCCTCCCAAGCAAGTCTGGTATCAATTTGACGACCCTGGCGGGATGGAAGGTAAGGCGAATCTTGGACGAAGGGATCCTCTTGTGTATTGTATAACGCCTTCGACCACTGCGCTACACGCGATCTCGATGCAACCGTATGAAAAGTTAAAGCAATGCGGACTAGAGAGCTTGCAGTACATGTATTCTCATAGTCGTAAACATTTACAATGTTGTTCTTCAAAATAAGAATTCCAGATGCTAATCATCTACAGTGCAAGTACAACCACAGGAGCTCGTCTAAATGCGTCTGTGGTTCGAAATTCAAACTGAGCATTTCGGGTTCTTAAGTGAGGACAGCTTAAGGTCAAACCCACTCTGGCGCCATAAATGCCATCTGAAGTTGTCACCTGATAAAACTAATAGAAGTATGGACGACTTTCGTGGGAAACATATAGAGCTGTTAGGTAGAGAAGAGAAGATTAAAACCTATTAGTTCAACAAGGCAGAGTCAAACCCATCTCCAAATGCCGGCATAACGTGGTTGCACCTGAACACGCACCCCTCTAATAAACTAGTAACATACCTGGGATTGCATTTGAATTCGTCGGAACTTGGTTGGTATGTCCATTCGGGTTCATCTTCTCCACTTAGCCGCACACGCTAGCAAAAACGATGCGAGCGACGCACTACCGTAGTACTCTAGTAAATATGAAACGTTGGTGGATAATCGCTGCAGAACCCACTGATGAATTTGACCACGAGTTACGCGTTCACACTTTATGAAAAGGAAACGGACGATTTTTGAGGAATGTTTTTTCGAAAGAAGAATTAGAAGGAAGAAGTCATCTCCTAGGGAATGATGGTCATCCAGGTGGCGACATTAAGCTGTAAGCTATCTCTTATATTAAACGGGTTTTCTTAAAGCGCTCAGAGATTCTGCTGCAACAAAACTATACGTTTTTCGGGACTTTCTCACAGATGAGGATACGTTTTGTTTTTCTTATTTCCAATAAGGAAGGTAGTGAATATTGGTATGGGATGAGATTAGCGTACAAGTAATGCATTTTCTTGTCTGCGCCCTCGTTTTTCTTTTCCTTCTGATCAGAAAAAGATATGCAATTCAAGCAAAAACAAGTATTAACCGGTATAACTGTCATCCTAGAGAAATGATTTAGAACTGAATGAATGTGCTGATCTGTTTATTAATAGTAGCCTTCACATTACCATCGCATATGCACCCTCTTCAAAAGGGGTCCCAGCGGGCTTTTCACAGGACTACGTGGCGCGTCTCCCGGTAGTGGATAGGCGGCCGAACGTGAAGAGGAAGCGGATTCTGTCCTTATCTAACCGAACTCATTAATTTCTTCATCATGTCACATACATTTATACATGAGTGGGTTTGCCCTTCACATTTGTTCACTGTATCCTGAACGTCACTTCGTTCAGAAGCTTCTAGTGAAATGGCTGACAATGACATAGAATGCGAATCGTTTCGCATTCCACAAGTAGGTTCCATGTCTACACTTTAAACCGATATAGCCCAACAACTTACCGAGGAGTCTATTCAGTTTCTCCAATAG